TGGTGGCGCTTATTGCTTCGATCATGCGCCGGTTTTGCCTCGTGTGTAGGTCTTCGTCTTCAGGTCTTTCCTTTTCCCGATGTGGTGGCGGCGACTTATCGCTTCCGATCATGCGCCGATTTTGCTCGTGTGCGAGTCTTCATCTTCAGGTCTTTCCCTTTCCCGAAGTGGTGGTGGCGGCTTACTGCTTCCGATCATGCGCCGGTTTTGCCTGTTTGCGAGTCTTCGTCTTCGGGTCTTTCCCTTTCCCGAAGTGGTGGTGGCGGCATACCGCTCCGATCATGCGCCGGTTTTGCCTGTGTGCGGGTCTTCGTCTTCGGGTCTTTCCCTTTCCCGAAGTTGTGTGGTGGCTTGCGCTGATCACGCGCGATTCCTGATGCATGTCTCGCCTTGGTCTTTCCTTTCCGTTGTGGTGGCGGCTTGCTCTTCGCTCTTTGCAGTGCGTCTTCTCCGGTCTTTCCTTTCGAAGTGGTGGTGGCGGCTTACCGCTCCAGATCATGCGCCAGTTTCATGGGGGAATGATTGCTCTTGACTCTTTTTGTGTAGTCATCTGGTTTGTCGGGGATTCTTCGCTTTTGACTTTTTCTTTAGCCATCCAGCTTCTTGATTGCTAGGCATTCTTGGTAAATGCCTCTGGAGTAGGAGGAAATTGATTAGGGATTTGTCGATGCCTCTGAGTAGGCAGATGCTTCATCGGAAGTGAAGACTTTTGGTTATATTGTTTCGCCTCTGAATAGGTTGATGTTCCACTTGGGGATGTTGGCTCTTGATGATGCCTCTGAGGATATGACTGTGAAGATTGCATCTACCGTAGGCTCACTAGGTGTAAATTCTTCTTTTTGGCGATCCACCAGAGATTTGGTTGACTCCTTCGGGATCATATTTTGATAGCCCTTTGGGGGAATGGGGTCTTGGCTCCTTAATTGATATGGGTGCGAACTGGCTTCGTCAAGCTCTTATTCTGCTTGGGAAATGGAATTTCTTATTTTTTGTCTTTTTCTTCAATCGTCTGACTTGTTGGTGGTTGCCGGGGATTTTGATGATTACCTTTTGGTGTAGGCAGGAATCCGTTGGGGATTGACCTTCCATTGTCATGGCCTTTTCTTCTTGGGCATCCATTGGGGATGAACGGTTTTCTTTTTGGTGATCCACCAGGGAATTAGCTAACTTCCTGGGGATTCGATTTTGACATTGATGTGAGCTGACCTTGTGAAGCTCTTATTCCAATGGGGGATGGGAATTTCTGATTCTTCTTTTTGTAGATTTTTCTGGTATGATCCACTAGGAGATTTTTATTCGGCCTTCTTTGTCGTGGCCTTTTTTGTCATCTGCTGGAGATGAAGAGTTTTCTTTTCTCTTCTTCTTTTTGTTGAACCCTTGATGGTATGGAGATTGGGATCTTTTGATTATTGATGATGATGGGCTCTTGAAGCCTTTATTCTCCATTGAGGAGTGTAGAGGAGACCTTGGGTGAGTGTGCTCGATGACTTAAGGGGGGGTGATGCTGAGCTGTGTGGACTTATATTTGTTTTCCTTTGGGGGTAGGCAATGATTTTCTTGAGGATGACTAAGCCTTTCCATCGGCTGTCTGTTGTTGATTATGCCCTTCCTTTATTGGGTAGAAGGATAGTGATTGGAGCCTTGACTTCTAGAAGCTCTTATTTCCTCTGAGTTATTTGATGATGACAACTCGCTCTTCTTTCTTGAGGGAGAGAGAGCAAAGTTTGGAGACTTCTTATTTGTGCCTTCTTTTTCCGAGTAGAAGGATGGTAGCTGGAGCTCTGGTTCTTTGTGTTTACTCTTCTAGATATTGTTCTTCTCTTTCTTCTTCTCTTTCACATCTTCTTCTCTTTCTTAAGTTCCGAATAGTCTGGTTTGATATGGCTAAGCTTTCCACATTCATAGCATTTGTACCTATTAGTTTTCTCCTTTCTTTGTTGTCCCTTTTTCCTCTTCTTCATAAACCGAGTGAACTTTTTAACAAAAATAGATATATCGGAATCCAAAAACTTACCTTCATTTTTGCTTTCATCCTGTGAAGTTTTTACTGCATTTAGAGCTATCGTCATGGCTTAGTTCTGCTCACCGTTCTTTAACCTTTGTAGTTCCATCTCATGCTCTTGTAACTTTCCAAATAGAGTAGCAAAATTCATTTCTGTGAGATCCTTTGATTCTGTAATAGCAGTGACCTTTGGTTGCCAATTCTTGCCTAAGGTTTTCAAGATCTTTGTGTTCAACTCCTCATTGTCAAAACTCTTTCCTAATACTTTCAAGTGATTTACTATATGTGTGAAGCGTGTCTGGAAATCTGTGATGCTTTCATTCTGCTACATTTAAAACAATTCATACTCCTAGATGAGTGTGTTCTTATGTGCTCGCTTTACTTCATTTGTTCCTTCATGTGTTACTTCAAGAGTGTCCCATATTTCTTTTGTCGTCTTGCATAAAATTCATTACGAGTTAAGGCAGAAACAATGGCGTTTCGGTCTCTTACATCATATTGGGCACGCTTATTTTCATTAGGCATCCATTGGTCAAAAGTCTTTGGAATAGCTCCAGACTCCATTGTTCTCATCGGAATGTAGGGATCGTTGAGTACATCATCCCAAACACCATAATCTAGTGCCTGTAAAAATATTTCCATCCTCGCCTTCCAAAATTGATAGTCTTCACCTTCAAATAATGGTAGCCTGTTTATTGAGGCTCCTTCCATGTAAACCTAATTCTACATAGACATCTTGACAGATCGGTTAGAAATATTTTATCTGATCAAGCTCTGATACCACTTGTTAAACAAATGACATCTAGAGGGGGTGAATAAATGCACAAATTAAAATAGATGCCAAATTAAAAAT